AGGGCACATAGGGCAGTTCCAGTCTTTAACAGAGAGGGAAGCTAAAGTGACAGCCACAGCTGCATGAACTGTGGAAACAAGGCGGTTGCAGAAGTCGAACGATCGCTTCGGAAACATCCTTCGTACTAACAGAAACCCCGTCGTCCATGAAATCACCCCCAACACCACCACCCTTGCAATTTGCTCCTCCATCCTCCTCTCCTCCTCCCTCTCTTTTTTTTTCTGTCTTTTTTTTTCCTTCTAATTTCTAACAAATGAAAGCATAAAATGTTTGATGCTGGAAAGCTTTTAATTTGATTTATGAATTTGTTATTGGTTGGAATTTCATTTAGTTTTAGAACTTTTAGTAGTTGGATTTGAAGGCAATGGGAGGAAAGTAGGTCACTTGCACCAAACTTTATATTAAAATTAAATGATATGACTACCAGAAAATAAGTGAAGACAATTTATTTATGGCTTCCGTTCGTTCGTTCGAATCATACAAATTTGATGACATTAAAAATGATTAATTCTTAATTAATTGTTAGTTGATCAAAATTATCATAGGTGAGGCATTAGCTGGATGATTCTTGTCTCAGAACATCCATTGTATTGCATGCACTGCATATATGTACCTCTATTAAGTGTAATAATATAATTAATACAATTATTTGAAAACTTAAAAAAATTATACCAATCAATTGTATTATAACACTTAATGTACCGAAATATGTTCCCGACATACTAAAAAGTGTCTCGCTTAATATTATTTGTTTGTAGTCATTATTCTACGTTCATGGAATGAACACACTCATCAACTTAATTAAAGCTTAATTAGTTAGTCACTTTGTTAACTATAATTATTAAAATGAGTGAAAAAAAAAAAAAATTCTTTTGATACAAGTTTTACCTAGTAGGTGAATCGAACTCATAACTTCGAATATAAAGGTAAATGCTCCTTTAACTAAATGAGTTTCAAGCCTATGTACAACAGTGTACCTCCTTATTCTCCAAGTTGTATAATCAACCAATTTTCTCTATACATATGTTATATTATAACCATTCAGCTCTGTAATCTCAATTTATAGATCATGTATGCAAAATATCTATCAAATTGAACATCTTATATTAAATATATTATACACGTATCAAACAAATCAACAATTTAATGAAATATTCAGTGTTTGACATATTTACATTTCTACGTGACATTTCAACTTGATTGATTTTGACCGGAATTCTTATTTGGGTTGGTTCGGGCCCGTTATTCATAAAGTTCATCAGTTAATTGTGGGCCGTAACTGGGTCAGTAACCCACATTAAGTGAGTGTGTCCACGTCATCATCTGCAGAAATCCGATTCCGATTCAGTGTTTCTCTGGATTGAGCTCCGATATTTCGTGATGGAGTTGTGGAAAATATCGGGTTCCACGGCCTTCCAATCCGGCCGTCTCCCGAAACATTCCGTCATCCGAATGACCGGCACGGAGTTCAGACCTCAGAACCGGATGTTCATCGCCGGAATGGGTTTCGTCGGCCAACGCCTGGGGCGCGAGCTCAAGAACCAAGGATGGTAATTAAATCTTAATTACTTCTGGTACTTAATTTCACAGTTCATGAACTGAATTTCAAATTTAGGGTTTTTAATTTAAGCTTAAATGTTGCTGTTATTAGGGACGTCTCTGGTACTTGCACTAGCATTAACAAGAAGAAGAAACTTGAGGAAGAAAGAAGCTTTCAGATTTACCTTTTCGATGCAAATGAGCCAGAGTACTTCTCAATTTTTTTTTAATTTAATATAAAGTTTTTTAATTTAATATAATTTTTTTTCATTTTCTTTTGCTTTTTGGTTTATTTGGGAAACCAATATCTGGATATTGTGCAGTGTGATCATCCTTGATGCTATCAAGAATCATACCCACATGGTTGTCTCCATTCCTCCTGTTCCCGGCATCGGTGATCCGGTATGATTCGTTCTAGCACAGTTAGGTTAGGAGATATTCGAAACTGGTTATCAAGTTTAGTGACAATTTCTAGAGGGAGCTGTTATTGGCAATCCAAAAAAGATATCTTGCACTCCTCTCGTAAAAAGCTACGAGATGATTGTGCATGAAGGAGTGCATAATGACGTTTTTAGAGTGTTAATGACAGTTTCCGTCTTTAGGGGCAACTAATGTTGGCCTTGCTTTTGTAGATGCTGCATTATGAACAAATTCTAAGGACAGAACTAGTGGGTGGAAAGCTTCAATGGCTTGGTTATCTGTCATCAACTAGTATGTATGCTTTCGTTGTGAGATAGATAAAATGTGGTCGACAAGCATTCATATTATACACTTAATCAGAAAGTGAATTCTAACATTGCGATTTGACTCGAATTAGACTCATTATGCATCTCGCTTGTTGCCCCCTTTCATGAGAAGTGACAATGTTGCATTCTCCATTTCATCAAAATAGTTGTGTGTGGGTTGTTTTCTCTCATGCTCACCAATGTTAGTTTTTTACTATGGAATTGCTTCTGCTAGGTGTTTATGGAGACACTGGCGGTGCGTGGGTAGATGAGGAGTAAGTGAGTGCATCTAAGTTAACGACTTTGGTATGCAAACTACTGCTCAGCATAACAAATTGTCCCAGAAACTTTGACTATTATTTGGCAGTTATATCCCAAACCCCACAAGTGAGTCGGGCAGGTTAAGGTTAGCAGCTGAGGAGGGATGGTTCAATTTCAGCCAGAGTCTAGGCATCTCAACACAAGTATTTCGGCTTGGAGGCATCTATGGTCCTGGTAGAAGGTTGTGATAAATTCAAAACCATTATGTTTAAATTCTGTCTTTTCTTTTCACTCTATAATTATAGGAAGCCTTCCCTGTTTCTGAAGTTTCAAAATTGAAAACACATCTCTTCTTAGCAATTCAATGTCAGATCTCTGCTCTAATAGATAAAGTTTTCGCTTCTTTCTCTAGCTAAAAGTTGGGTTTCTTGCAAACTATTTTCTACAGTGCTGTCGATACAGTAGTCAAGCAGGGAGCTTTATCGGAGAGTCAGAGAATGGGAGGACATAAGCGGTTCACATCAGGAGTTTCTGTTGATGATATTTGTCAAGCAATTATGGCCAGTATATGTACACCGTCATCCAGGTTGGCTCTGAGTTTCATTTTTTCTTAACTTTGTTTGATTTTTTTTTAAAACCATTTGTTCTAAAGGTGTAAAACATAGTTTAGATACACTGAAATGATAGACTTTAAAATCGCAGGTGGGTTTACAATATTGTTGACGATGATCCAGCCCCAAGGGAAGAAGTATTCGAGTATGCAAGGGACTTGGTTGAGAAAAAGTGGCCTGGCTGGATCAAACAGCCTTCAGAGCAAAAAGAGTCTTTGGTTATTGCTAACAAGAGAGGTTTACGGGGAGAGAAGAGAGCTTCGAATGCTCACATGAAGAATGAACTAGGAGTGAGGCTGCTACATCCAAGTTATAGGTCGGGATTGCAGAGTATTATCGAGCAAATGGATAGCCCTTTTGAACCCGGCAAATTGAATTCATGAGTAGCGGAAGCGGAACTCTCCAAACATCGAACTTTTTGCTCTGTGGTTTTAAACATTTTTGGATGAAAATTTAATTTCCGGCAACCTTGTTTTCGTTGTTTGACAATCTACTAAAAGAATTGATCTTTAAATCAACACACTCCAACCACGTTTTGTTCTTAACGAAAGTTATGTGCATGCATTGTCACTTATGGCGGCCAAACGGCTCTTGTGCTCTCGCACCACACATTTTAACCGTTACGTGCAAAATTCATCACATGTGAAAGAGTGTGTTCTCGAATTGAGTTTTTCCAAGTCTAGGAATTACTCCTTTCAGAACTGACTTGGGCTATTGCCATTGAGCTACACTTTGCTCAACTCTCCAAACATTCAAAAACGGGCCGGGTTTGTCCTGACCCATATCCCAGATCGTCAAGGCTTCGAGTGTGTGGTTTGCTCTCACTGCATGGTGACCGGTTAAATTATAGAGGTGAACTAATGGAAGAAATGGAACCACTCCCACCTACTACTGTGGACAAACAGCTGTTCACATTGTCGAACCTGTCTCTAGTGCCACCTGCTCCAAGGAAGAATATTTCTCTAACATTTTATTTTTCTCCACTTTTGGCTATAGAGTAATCAATCAGTATGTAAAATCCCATTTCAGGCATAGGTACGAAGGTTCCTCATTGTTTCTTACGCTGGGCAATATCCCAACGCGGTTCGAATATTGGGTTTAGGGTACAGATGAAGGTGACCACCCATTAGCATCTAAACAGACTACAACTGGAAATAGTTTCTACTTTGAACCGGATACCACTGGAGCTTAAGTTTTGCAGAAGATGAATAACATGACTAGATGACAGCACAACTCTATCAAAATGGTTTCATATTTGGTATTTCAGGTAAGTTTGATTGATTCAATCACGATGATGAGGGTTTTCCCCCTCCGCCGACTAGGAGTACACTTTTTTCGATATCAATAAAACTCCCCTCGTACCAAAAAATAAAATAAAATAAATCACGATGATTAGGGTTCGACGGGAACTGATGCATAATTAAGTAACTGATTGCATGAAGTTCAAATTCTGGTGTACAGGATCTAAAGTAGCTCATTGTCAGTGGAGAATCAAAGGTGGTATAGCATGATAACCAAATTTCATGCATCCCCTGCAGCCTGTTCGGTACTACATCAAAATCAAAATTTTGCTTCTCTGACTTTTCAGTTGTTTATACGGTAGATAACACATGATCATGTAATAAGAAATTTGTCAGAGTATGATCAAGCTACCCGAACCACCCTTCTTGTGGCTGGATCTACGGTTGCAAATAATCAATCTCAGCAAGTACATTGGCTCCAGTCAATTGATTTAACTTGTTTCTCAGCACAGCATGCACAAAATCAACACCGGGTAGAAACTAAAAACCACCACCAAATAAATGTGAATTCGACAATGTCAACGTATTTACTTACCAAGGATACTGCAGGGACAAGTTAAATATGCAGGGTTCCTGTATTCTTCATTTTGATGGTACATTAAACGGAAACCCTGGAATAGCTGGTGCTGGAGCTGTGTTGCGAGCAGACGATGGACGCTTGGTATACATTTTACGCCTGGGTGGTCTTTTCTTATAGTTACTTGTCTTTCGAAGACTCTAACCATGCTTTTCCTCATGTAGATCGGTGAAATACATGAAGGTATGGGTGTTGTAACCAACAATGTTGCTGAGTACCGAGCTGTTATTTTAGGGTTAAATTGTGCTCATAAAAAAGGTTTTACAAGGATTTCTGTCCAAGGCGACTCCAAACTCGTGTGTATGCAGGCTGGTTAGTACTGTGATTACATTCTTCTGCTTAAGGTGGTTTACGTTGTCTTTGGTTGTTTGATACTTTAGCAGTTTTGCGGTTTTCCTTTTCCTTTTACTCCTTGTTCTGTGTTAACAGAGAAAGATAACTGGATAGGTTCAGGGTTTATGGAAGGTGAAAAACCAGAACATGTCGGATTTGTACGAAGAGGTGAAGAAACTGAAGGATAAATTGCTCTCCTTCAAGATCAGCCATGCCCTGAGGGTGAGCAAAGTTGAGTCTATTTATCTTTTGTGCTGTATTGCTTTCTGTGGGTTTGTATTATACCGCCTCACAAAGGCTGCTTATAATATTCTGACATGTTCGTGTGTACCTTCAAGGGAACGAAACTCCAAGGCAGATGCTCAAGCAAACTTGGAAATCACTCTTGCTGGTGAGAAACTCGAGAGATGATTTTGCATTAATTTAGTGGATTCTGCATATGGTCAATTGAGCTGATTTAACAATGTCATTTGGACATGTTCACTTTGCAGATGGTCATGTCCAGGAGTCCGCGAAGTAGTTTTGACGCTGATGCAGACGACCTATTTTTTGAAGAGTAGGCCCTGATGAGTTGAGGATGTTATCGCTTCCAGCTCTGTGTTACAGTGACCAGAGTGGCCTTCTGGTTTCAACACTGCCATTTGTTGGGTGTAAGTTTACAACGTAAAGCATTTCGACCACAAAACTGAAGCTTCTGTTTACGTGCAACTTTGGAGACTGATTATTTCTGAAATTCGAGCCTTGGATGAAATAAGACGTGATACAAGGGAGATTCAGTTTGACAAACCACACCCGAAAGAAAGAAGACGCGCATAGGAAAGGATTTGCTAATCAAAGAAAAGATGTGAGCAGGATGTGAAAAATTCTTACTAGCATTCATCTTAAATTGTTTCGCTTTTCCGAGATTCTGTATTTTGCGATGCTATATGCTTCGAAATCAAAGAGAAATTCTAAGACCTGATTTCCATTTACTCTCACAAAACCAAAACCAACAGTTGCATATGTTAGACTTGAGAAATTGAAAATCTTTACAACTTCAGTCGTTAAACTTCTACCGGCAATTTTTACCATCAAACTCAAAAGAATTGAAATGCCTTCTACTGCAAGCGATTAATCCTCTGTCTGATCTGTGTTGCCTTCACCAGTCATGGAACCGGCGGCTAAAGAGTTAGAGTCCTCTGAAGACTCCCCAAACTCTTCCTTGTACATTTCTTCAATCATAGGTTTCCACAGCCGAAACGCACGTTTATGAACCAATTCGCAACCTGAAACAGAGACAACATGGATCATCAGAAAATCGGACCGTTACATATGACCTACAGCATATGAAACTAATTAGGACATAATCAAGTCATTAGAACTTACTTGGTTCTTGGACAGCCCTGTTTGTGATGCCAACAGCAGCTTTTCATTGTCATTCGGGTAACTGTATGATCAAAACCAAGTTAAACACTGTAGAAAACCAATATGGTTTTAAACAATTGTTTTTGTATTGAATTGTCGAGAAAAGGAATACAGCTCAACCTATATACACAAGCTAAGTGCTAAACTAGGTAATTACAAGTTGACTTATGAAATAAGAAACTAATTTAATACAAAGATACTTTCCTATAGAACCGAAGCCTCATCCCTGATTGTTGCAATCTTCAACACTCCCCCTCAAGTTGGAGTATATGTTAATTATACTCAACTTGCTAAGAAGATTTTCAAACTGAGAGGTACTTAGTGCTTTGGTAAACAAATCTGCCAGTTGTTGTAGAGTTCGGACATGGGCAGTTTTGACAAGACCTTCTTATATCTTTTCCCGAACCAAATGACAATCAATTTTGATATGTTTCGTCCACTCATGGAATACGGGGTCATTAAGCACATATCTTAGCCAAGTTATCTCACAACATGTGGATGCCATGGCTCTATATTCTGCCTCCGCTATAGATCTTGCCACTGTGGTTTGCTTCTTTGTTTTCCAAGATATAAGTGAGTCTCCAAGCATGATACAATAGCCCGAGACTGACCTTTAGCGTTGCAATATGCTTTCAGTTGAAAGGATCTGGTGGAGTAGAGCATGATCCCTTGTCCTAGCGTCCCCTTTATGTACCTCAAAACTTGATGTGCTGCATCTAAATGCGGCAGCCTAGGCTTGTCCATAAATTGACTTAAAATGTGGACAGAATAATGGTCCGGCCGAGTGATTGTCAAATAAATTAGACGACCAACGAGTCTACAATATGTGGATAGATCTTTCAACAGCTCACCATCTGTCTGCGTGAGTCCCAAGTTCTGATCCATAGGGAATCGAGCTGGTTTAGCTCCAAGAAAACCAGTATCCTCCAATATTTCCATGGCATATTTTCGTTGTAACAAAGATATACCTTGAGATGACCTTGCAACTTCAATGCCCAGAAAATATTTTAACTTTCCTAGATCTTTGAGTTTGAACTTGCTAGCCAAAAATTCTTTTGTCTTTTCAATGAATGAGAGATCATTACCGGCCAATATCACATCATCCACATACATAAGAATAGCAGTAAAACTTTCGCCTTTAGATTGGATGAACAGAGAGTAGTCCGCGTTGGACTGTCGATAACCTGCAGCCTTGAGCGCAGAAGAAAGCTTCAGGAACCATTGCCTTGAAGCCTGTTTAAGTCCATAAAGGGACTTCTGAAGCTTGCATACGAGTGTCTCCCCCTTTTGTCCGTATCCTGGTGGAAGTCGCATGTAAACATCTTCAAGTAAGTCTCCATAGAGGAAGACATTATGGACATCGAGTTGATACAAATGCCAACCTTGAGCAGTGGCAACACCAAGGAGTAAACGAACGGTGACCATCTTAGCAACGGGAGAAAAATTCTCCTTGTAATCAAGACCTTCGATTTGTGTATACCCTTTTGTGACCAAGTGGGCCTTGTAGCGTTCCACTGAACCATTTGGATTAAGCTTGATTTTATAAACCCATTTGCAACCAATGGGTTTCTTCCTAGTAGGAAGAAGTTGGAAAGTCCAAGTGTGATTGGCCTCAAGAGCAGAAACCTCATCTCTCATGGCCTAGCACCATTTAGGATCTTGAATAGCCTACAAATAGCTTTGTGGTTCTTTGACAAGGGAAAGTGAGGTGGTAAAGGCATGGTGAGGGTGGGACAAATGAGCATAAGATAGGAAGTGTGAGAGAAAGAGTGAGAAGTACTACCTTTGTGTGATTCAACGTGAGAAGTCGATGATTGGTTGGTGTGAGAAGGTAACTTGACACCAACATGAAATTGTTGTAGGTAGGGAGGTGGTCGAGTGGCTTGGGTGGAAGAGCAATTAGATGTTTGGGCAAGCCGAGACGAGGTGTCGTCATGAGTGGGAAGGGTTAGGGTGGTTGAGGTGTCGATGGGAGGTGAGGCAGGTGAAGACACATCTTCGATGACATTGTTGCCGTGAAGAGTTGAAAGGGTATGATGGTTAGGTGAGGAGTCAATGTTGGTAGTTGTGAGTGGAACAGGTGATGAATCGTAAGAATAATCAGCTAGGTTAGGTAGAGAAGGGTATAGTGGTGGATGGTTTATGTCAGAGTGTGATGCGGAAGGTGTGTTAAAAGGGAATGTATTTTCATGAAAAAGCACATCACGGGAGATGAATATTTTGCGTGTGTGGAGGTCATAAACCCTTTCTTGCCATATGGATAACCAATAAATATGCATGGGGTGGACCGAGCATCAAATTTGGATGGATGATGGGCATGTGTGGATGCAAAGCAAAGGCAGCCAAAAACCTTCAAATGTGAATATTTAGGTGGTTTGTGAAACAAAAGATCCTAAGGCGTTTTACCATGCAAGACTTGAGTGGGTGTACGATTGATGAGGTAGGCTACGTTGAGGATGGCTTCTCCCCAAAAATTGGTAGGTAGGTTAGCTTGAATGAGGAGTGCCCTAGCAATATTGAGGAGGTGATGGTGTTTGTGTTCAGCCACCCCATTTTGTTAGGGGGTGGCCACACATGTTATTTCATGGAAAATGCCTTTTGTGGAGTAGAAATCAACAAGTTTAAATTCTGGCCCATTGTCACTCCTAATTGTCTTCACTTTGTGAGAAAACTGATTTTCAACAAGGTTGATGAAATTGATCAAATGGTGTTGTGTGTCAGATTTGTGCTTCATTAAGTAAATCCAAGTACAACGAGTGTAATCATCAACAATTGTGAGAAAATATTGTGCTCCAGTGAGGGAAGCAATGCGAAACACCCCCTCCCCCCCCCTAAAACAAAAAATATCAATATGTAAAAGTTCAAAAGGCATGATAGTTGAAATTTCACTTATTGGAAATGGAGATCTCGTTTGTTTGGCTAGAGGGCACACAAGACAATTATTGGAAATACAAGAACCAAGGGCAAGAGTAGAGAATGAAGTATGTCGAAGGGCTTGATCAGAGATGTGGCCTAGGCGTTGATGCCAAAAGTGTGGTGATGTTTTCTGAACAGCATTAGTGGTGGATATGGTAGGTCTTCTGTTGGTGCCGTCCAAAAAATATAAGCCTTCTCGTTCACTCCCTGTCCCAATCATCTTCCCCGAACGAAGTTCTTGAATCACACAAAAATGGCTTAGAAAAATCGTGATACACAAGGACTGATAGGCAAGCTGACTAATGGAGATTAGATTGAGTTGGAAAGTGGGGACACAAAGAACATCATGTAAGACAAAATCTGTGGAAAATTGCATGGTCCCTATGTGTGTTACTGTAGCATAGGTACCATCGGGCTGTTTCACGGTCTTATTCCTAACAGGCACAGAAGAGGTTAACAAATTATGTGAGGTAATTATGTGATCTGTGGCACCACTATCCAAGATCCATGATGATTTCTGACCATGAGAAGTGAAGGAAAAAGCTTTACCTGAGAGATCATTTAGAGAGGAATTTTTACCAACATTGTGCGCCTTGGCTTTGTTGTTATTGAGCATGGTCATTATTTGCTTGCACTGATCTGGTGTGAATGGGAAGGAACTTGACAATTCCTGTCTGTCAAGATTACTTGAGACATTGTTACCCTTGGATTTCTCCTACTTAGGATGGCTTCTTTGTTGCTTCAGATCCGCCATTTTCAGTTTTCGACAATAATCTATCGTATGGCCTTTCCAGCCACAATATTCATATTTCAAATGGGCACAGTAAGCTTCAATGGTGTGATTGTTTTTGTTACAGCGAGTACACTTCATATCAGCATATTTCTTGTTGAAGTCGGGTCCCTTGGCTGCAAACACAACAGCCTCCTGTACTGATGATTTTCTTGCAGTAGCGTCATGTTGCTTCTCATGTCGCAGCACAAGAGAGTATACCTTATTGACGAGTGGAAGTGGATCCATTAAGAGGATTTGATCCTTTACTGCACTAAAGGTTTCATTAAGTCCCATGAGAAACTTAATGGCCTTTTGATTTTACTGAAAGGCCAACACATGTTGCAAGGTGTTATAGTCGTAATCTGGTAGGCTGATCGCAGCATCTCTTTCATCCCATAATGCTTTGAGTTTGGTGAAATAAGAACTCA